GCTTGCTCGCCTGGTCCCTCGCGGAGAAACGAAGCCTACCCCGGTGTCCGCTGTCTTCTAGGTCTGCCTGACGTGCTGCACCCAGGAAGTCCTCCTGAAGGTGGACCAGATATGCAACAAATACGGCATCAAGTTTTTCACTGGCGATGTCTTTGGTTATCATGGCTACATGTTTGCCAACCTGGGTGAACATGAATTTGTTGAGTGAGTTTCTCTTGGTTTGGAATCTGAAGCTGGGAGCTATGCCTGGAGATGACGGGTGCCGAAAGAGACGACTCGCCCAGTATCCGGGGGGGAGGGCATGGATCCCGGAGGGAGCCATGGCTCTTCTTCCTGGGCATTTGTGTCGACTCTTGCCCTGGAGACAGGTAGACAGGAAGGCAAGCTGCTGTCTTACAGCCATTCTATAAGTTGGCTGGGATGAGGAGTGGAAACTGTTGTATTAATTCCCTTGCTCTCTCCCTCTCCCTGCCTTACAGAGAAAAAACAAAGGCTACCAAAGCTAGCCAGGAAGGGCAGGGGGGCTCTGATCCGAAGAAAGCCAAGCTGGATCTTGCGGAGACCACCCTGGTGAAGAAGGTGGGTGGAAGTCTATGTGTCTGGAGCAGAAAAAATGGGGAACTGGGCCTGCACCAGCAAATCTTTACTCAGGCATCTGGCTGCTTCTATCAGAGGCTGTTTTACTTCTGTTTATGGTGTAGGAACTATGTATTTCATGGCCGAGATGTAAAGGATTCCCTCCATCTGAGTATTCCTCTTCCAGCCTTCAGGCAAGCCTACCCTTGTCCTGTGGGTTTTCACTTTGCTGGGCATCTAGTGCCACGTGCATCTTTGGCCTTTCAGAGACTTGGGAGGTATGATAATATTGAGGTTATCTAGTCCAGCCCCCTGCCCCATGCGGGAACGGCTACAGCATCTCTGACATGCCCAGCCAACCTTATTTGAAAACCTCTCACAAAGGAGAACTCCCCACTTCATCTGGCAGCCTGTTGCATTGTTCTGTTCATTCCTCAACTAGTGTGGCTTGCTCCTCTAGGAAGTTTGGTATATCAGTCAGATCTGTACTGACACCAAGGAGCGCCTGGATGTCATGGTTGAAACAGAAAATGCATTTGAGTGCATTAATCAAATTGGGAGCCTTGGTTTGCATTTGGAGAACTGTGGGCTTCTGTGACAGGGTGAGCTTGGGTGGACATAGAATAGCAAGTGAGGTTGCATGAGAAGAACGAATTGCACAGTGAATGCCCAGGGTAGCATCTAAAAATTAGAAATGGCAGTTGTGCCCCTCAGTGCCAAAAAGGGAAAAAAGCTTGAGGGCACACAGGCAGTGAGGGGCTACTAGCCCCTAATGGCCTCTGAAGCTTCTCCAGTCGATGCCCCAGAATTTCTGGCTCTATCTTCCCCATGGATGGCAATGCAATTCTTAACTTCAGTTCAAGGAAGACTGTAACCATCGTTCTCTGGGCTCGTCAGTACTATGCAAGCGCTGAGTCTGCAGGGGCTGGTAGGAGCGTTGACTGTGATGCTGGATAGCGCACCAAGAGTGTGCAGTTGCTCCAGGGCTGCCTCGGGTCAGTCATGGGTGCTTGCCTGCATGCTCAGGACTTGGCGGCTGGCTGGTGAGGACGGATAGTCCTGTCAGAGAGACAATTATGTACACTGCCTTCCCCCGCAGTTTGGTGATTTTTGCAGAGTTTTCTGGGCTAACCCAAATGTTCTTCTTTAAGCCATTCCTAGGCAGGAGCAGTGAAGAGCTACAGCTTCCCAAGCTCAAATAGATTAATGCTCAGCTCTTAACAATGTGTGATAAGAAGAGAGAACACCTATGCCAGCCAGTTCTGAGTGGGCCAAGTCAGCTGGTTCAGTGCATGTGTGTAAAATGATGCACAATAGGAGAATACATATTTTAAAGAACAGGACATCCCTCTGAAAAGATTTTAGAAAAACGGTCCCTGTTTAACAGTAGAATGAGAAATATGAAGTGGGATCTCTTCTTACTGGTTATTTGGGTCTGTCCTGCTGAATGCTTGGTGATCTTGCATTTTAACCATGGATCCCAAGGATGGAGCCTTTATCTGTACCCGTAGTGGCAACTTCCAGACTACTTCCTTCGCTTTAAAGCTTGCCATTCATTGGAGCTGCTTGTGAACAAGTTACGAGTCTTCTTGAAGGAGCAAATGATAGAGAAAGCTGGCTGAACAAAGTGCAGTAAAGCAAAGTTAAAATCTTACCCTCCTGGATTCTGGTACATCTCTAGCTCCACTAACTCCCTTTAGTTTCTGGAAAGATGACTGCTGAAAGCGTCTTGCAGGTTAAGCGAAGCGATTCGAATGCCTCTGTTGCCTCACTGTCCTTTTTTTTCCCCAGCATATTCATTTTTGCCTCCTAAAAGATGCCCTGACTCTCAGTTGGAGCACTGAAGGGGCCAAGACAGCCCTGAAGCGGACTGCCCCAGATTACTTCCTGCTGCAAGGTGAGATGCCCAGCTGAGGCAGGTGGAAGCACGTGCTAGGATCTGGCCTGGCATTGGGGCAGCAGGTTAGGCGAGGGTGCCTTTTGAGTCATGTGATTCCTGGCCAGAGCAGACAATGGAGTAGTGTCCAGCTGACAGGCATGTGAGTGCCTTGTGGCCCGAAGGAGAAGCAGGCATGTAGCTGAAGCGGGGCGGCCTGGGAATTGGTGCTAGAACAGGCCAGGCATTCATCCCAAGGCAGCTTTGGCAGGAGAGTGCAAGGGCCCATCCCTCCTCCCTAGAGATGGAGAGCATACATGTCGCAAGGTGTGGGCCTGGCTTCAGAAGAGCGGGCTGCTCCAGTTTCCTCAGCCTGGCTGCTGGAGTCCAAAGCATCAGGTGTGCCAAGACTTGGTTCGTCTGGCAAAGGAAGACTCTGGGGCTGCCTTGATTAAATCAGTGCTTTCTATTCTGATCTCGCCTTTGGCATTTTGGTTTGGAAGGCAGCAGTCGCCTCTTCTCTTCCTTGGCCGTAAGCGAGAAGCCAAATGGTGTGTCTTTTCAGTCTGGTTTCTCTTTGTTCTTCAACCACAACAGTCTGCTGCGAGGTGCAGATCTCCTTCACAGGAGGCTCATTGGTCTTGGTGTTTTGGGTCATCCCTTTTGGGAAGAGGAATGTCAGAAAGAATTGGGACAGAAAACATCTGGATTAGGAGGTGTATTGAGATCTGCCCTGCTGATCTTCCCCTTTCCAAAAAGGGAGGGCCTGTCTGATTCTGCCTCCCCCCATCAGCTCCTGAAGACTACAAAGGTCTGCTTCAGCCAGTCAGAGTCCAGGTGGGGAAGCAAGCAGGCAGGTGACTGGATATCTTGTGTGTGCATGCACATAGATGTGCTAGCCAAGTAGAGACAAGTTACAGGTGTGTTTTCATGTGGATGCTGCATATCGACTCCACGAGCACGTAGAAGGTTCTGGTGGGCTGCAGAGACTTTTTCCTTGGCATATGGTGCGGCCTCCGTTTCAGCTTGCTAGCAGCTGCTCTCCACCGGTCAAGGGGAGCAGATGCAGTGCCCTGAGATAAGGAGGGGAGCCGGGTGCGGTGCTAGTCTTAAGGACTCCTGGGCACGCTGTTTGTCTTGTAAAACTTAGCACATTGTGGTTGCTTCCTCTTGCAGTGCTTCTGAAATTCCGGACAGAAAAGGGGCGAGACCCTTCCCCACAGAGTTACATGGATGATGCAGAGGTGCTCCGTCAGATGCGCACGGATGTGCTGGCCTCTTTGGGTGTTGGAACTGACCTGATTGCTGATGACTTTGCCAGGTAGGGGCCTCCTTTCTGCCTTTGACCAGGTTAGGGGGCCAGCCTTGCCATGGGTCTTCAGCCCCCAGATTGGGGTCAAAGAGCAAAAGGTCCTCTTGACAGCGTATGGAAATCCTGGAGAAAAACTGTCTCAGAGTGCTGCAGGTGAGCCACCAAGCGGGACCAGTTCCTCTGGGTGGGGCCCAGCAGCTGATGGGTGGCTGTGGTTGTGCTGGGCCTAATTTCCTGTGTAAGCTTCCCGTGAAAAGAATGATGGCCAGGGGAGCCTTGGGGGGAAGGTGGCCGCAGCAGCTTTTTTCTGGAACGAGGTTCCACTTCAGTGGCAGGGAAAACACTTCCTCCCTCTGGGTCCACCTTCCTTCAGCAGCTCCTGCAAGTTGATCCAGGAGCAGAGAAGTACGTGGCCTGCCTTTGAGCAGGCCAGGAAGGGGGTAGCTGTTGGGGGTATGTTTAGCAGAAGTGTCTAGAACACCCCTCTCAGCTGATGTTGGTCTGCCTTATCGCTTATCCGGTGCAGGATGAGATTAGATGATGATTCAGGTACTCTTCAAGTCCCTGCAAACAATAGTCTTTGTGCCCACTGCTTGACCTGGCTTGTTTGCTGGTATCAACAGCTGCTTCTCTGAAATGGCCCCCGTTTGTGCTGTGGTTGGAGGGGTGCTGAGCCAGGAGGCTGTCAAGGTAAGGTGTATCTTCCGCCATGCTCCCCGGCCTCTGGCCCTGAATTGAAGGGAGTAGAGCATGGCTTTTTTCCTGGGGAGCCCATCTTCTAGTCCAGGATTTTGCTTGCTTGCCACTTCGCAGCAGCACTGGCATGCTTGGAGATGGATTGAAACACCAATAAAGTAAAAAATTACTCCTCTTCCTGCCTTGCTGAGCATTCCTACCAAAAGGCGTGGAGGCGGGCATTCCTACCCAAAGGGGTTCTTCGCGGGCAGGCGGGCGGGTGGGCAGGCGCAAAAAGTCCTGTCTGGGAATTGGGTGGGGGTTGCCTGCTGGCAGTTCCCAGCTGCCTCCAGGCCTGTTCTTATGTTGCCTCTACCTTGTCATCTTCCTCCTAGGCGCTCTCACAACGGGACCCTCCCCTCAACAACTTCTTCTTCTTCAATGGCATAAAGGGCAGTGGGGTTGTGGAGTGCCTGGCCCCCAACCTCACATCCTGAACCGATGGCCCTGCACAGCCTTGGGAGATGATTCAGTTACGGATCTTCAGCTATGGATGCACTTCCCGAACAGCCAACCCTCATAACGTCTCTTTCCAACTTAGCCCCAATAAAAACTTCTTTGGTTACTGAGTCTCTCCAGCAGTGATTTCCCCAAACATTCACTTTTAAATTGGAAGGCAGAGTTGGTGGGGGAGGGAGATGGAGCGGGGGCCCTACTGGCCTGGTAGAGGGACGAGACCCTGCCGTGGAAGAGCCAAGGCCTAGAGCTGCTCTGAGCGGAGCCCTGTGGTTCAGTCCGGCTTCAGAGGGTACGGATGGTTGAGGCTGGCCTGTCACTGGTCTACCTTTCGCTCTGGGAGCAGTTTGGTTTCTGCTTGGGAAGCAAATTGTGCTGGGCGGAGCAGACTTTGGAGCTCTGGGTTCCACATTTAAGAGGAGAAGGAGCAGCAGCTTTCAAGATGGTGTCTGCCCTTGCTTAGCCCCATAGAGGCGGCGGCCACCTAACCAAGAGGAATTAATCTTCCCTCCTGCAGTTGAGCCACATCTGGCTTCTGGCTCCCTCTTTTGGGGGAGCCAGAGCTTTTCTTAGCAAGGGCTGGGATCTTCTGAGGGCCTTGTTCCTCCACAAGCTTTGTCCGAGGTGGTGCCAAAGGTGCGGTGGTTCCTTGCCCACTGGCACCTCCTTGGACTACACTGTCCCATAGAAGAGAAGAGGCTGGTGCCGTTTCTGCTTTCATCCAGTTTTATTGAAAAGAAAATATACAAAATTTCCCCCACCTCTTCACAAGATACAGACAACCAACCCCTCAGGTATGTACAGGCAGCACCCAGTTGTGTTCTATGTACAGGCACGAAGACGGTCTATATACATACAGCAGCTGCTGCACCAACGTGCAGGTTTTCTTCACGTCCCTGCGCAATGCCCAGCCTT